TTGGAACTAGCTAGAATCCTATGGGGTCAGATTGCTAAGGCAGAAAAGGCGTGCTAAATCAGGTGGGTTGCATTGTTCTCCGCCAAGAGCCGACATCTCTAACGCTCCCCTTAACTTTTGTTACTCTCCTTAATAGGTTCGTACAAAGGCTAAATTCACGTGTCTCAGTCAGCTTAGGGACACCTTATTCCATTGAATTGTTGCATAGAACCATGGTATATGTTAAGCCACTTTTACCTGGTTCTGGGAATACCACTGCAAAAGGCGTAATAAATTACATGGTTTCTCTCCTCACAGACGCCAGTTTCTGCCTGCCTACTTCATGAGGCTGAGAAATCATGAAATACAAAGACAATCCGTGGGATCAGACGTCTACTCATGTTAGCCTCAAGTCGTGCGTAATTTATTTACCTTCCAGTCACACACATACACTGGACTAAGGAGAGCTCCCTTCATCCAAATACGGACGGGAATTCATCAAGCCGCAGCAATTCTCCGTCTCTTATTCTGATTTTCTGTGCAACAAACCTTGTAGATAAAGATTCGTTTACCCCCTTATTTATCATCATTTACTATTGACAGTTGACCCATATTTGTAGTCAGAATGGAAGAATGATGCCTTGAAGTAAAAATATAACCCTCCTTTTAAGACGGGATGTTAAGGATACCTGCCATCAATGCTCGCCGGCCTAATTAAAAGTTGATGATATTGCTGGTTTTTATAACAGGCCACTCTTTTGCCATTTTGAGCAGTTGAGTTTTATGTCTGGGAACCTGAAAAAAAGGCGACACGATGCTGTGTGTGGGGGTTCGTGATGATAGGCAGACCACAGCTGCGTCCAAGCTTTAACTCCCAGAGTGTGATTGAGAAAGGACCGCGGGAGGGGAAGGCAGGGCTAGGGGTGCCGAGGGAAAGGGAATGTAAATGCGGGTCTGTGCTCACCCCTCGAGGTCTCTGTTCTCTCCGTACCTCGACTGACATCGCCTTTCACTCCGCCTCCTAAAACTAGTTATCGCCGCCTCTGTATATGCACGCGCATGCATGCAAGTTTGCCCACTCAAAGCATTCCAAGGTTCATGATTTAATGAGGTTGGATGGGTGACTTGGCGTCTCTCAACTTGTGCACCGCATCCTTCAATCTGTCCTCGTCAGTGGTAAAGGTAATACGTGGCAAGAAAATAGAGCGTTTTGATTTGTGCAAAATGCATATATGACAGTCAAGGTCTCACATCCTAACCACCAAAATTTGTCCATAAGCAAAGGTGATCGGTCAAAAGTTCATGTTTTAATGTTCAGGGCTGGTTTTCTATTAACCTAACCTGTTGTTAGTGGAATGAATACAGACAAGTTACATTTTATTCACTGAGATGTCTTGCTTTATTAGACTGCCTTTAACGGACAAGTCATTTATTACGTTAGCAATCCTATGTGCTCACTACACGGACAGATTTTCTGGCTGGCTAGAGTTCATTGTGATCTCTTATAGAACTCCATACGCTGTTGGGTGCTGGATAACGACAAACCAATCAGGTGGTCCAATAAGCCGCTGAGCAAGTGTCATTTTGTCGGAAGGACGAGACACTTAGAGCACGAGGTTGGGATCCATTTGATGGAATTGTAGATGGAGAAGGCGTAAAATTCGACGGGTTAATTAGACCCAGAACCCAACTCACTTCGACAAATCGAATTAAGTAGAAACAGAGCTAGTGGCGAAAAAAAGCCATCTACGACCTCTACAGAAAGGAAAAAGAGTAAGAAAGGTAATTGGAACAACAAGAACAAGCCAAATACACACAAACACAAGGGTGGGGTAGTTCGTTCACACGGCACCGTTCATGGTGGCCTCAGGAGGTAACAGCAGAAAGCCGAGGCGGGAACAACAGCTGACGGTAGGAAGGAACAGGAAATCACGAGAGGCAGAAAACGGAGAGCATAAAAAAGGAGGAAGGGAGGGCTGAGAAATGACAGGAGGGTAGAAAAGGAGGGAGCGAGAGGTTCCACAAAAATTTGACCCAAAAACTTCCAATACTGAGTGAAGAAATTGACTTGGAAAACTGGTATGAGAAGAAAATATGCAGAATTTTCACGCCTCCTGCAGTCTTTCAGGGGAACCACCCGTGTGGCCACGTCGTCTAAACTTTACATCACCTGAGTCTGACAATACCTCGATCGCTTTATGCAGAAGGGGAATAATATTAGTGGCATATACGGGATATTCCACACTCAGCATAGAGACTCATGTGGTCTAATATCAGGCTTGGCTTTTTAAACATTGTAAAAGAGAACCTAGAGAAATGTAAGAAATAAAACGATGCCGTTGCCTCAATCGGACTTCTGGATAAGCGCCGATGACGGTCTGCGGATCCTGGGATGAAAGAGTATGGATCAAGACGGGCACAAACTTTAGGGACCGCCATTACGACCTAGTAAATGGCTTTAAATGAACCGTCCCACACGGATTGCTTCATGCATAATTGATTAAGAATGACGAACTTCCCTCTCTTCCACTCTATGTCAGATGCCTGGGTCGAGGCATAAAGTCCATGCGTTAAGCGAAATTTTTCCTTATTGATGGAATCGAAGCTATGAATAGGGGAAGCCCCTTGAATTCTTCACTAAAATTCGGCAGCCTTTAAAGTGTCTAGCACTGCACAAATGCTACATTGCTGAGTGGTTGAGTGTGCCACCAAAGTTTTGTACCAAACTGTGCAAGAAATAATCTGTATGAGTGAATGTCGAGATTTATGTCTTTGTGCGGAAGAAACTTCACCGCTGCACACGCTTTTGCCCGCCGGAGGATTAATGACTTTGGATTGGGCCGGCCTACCTATGACATGTGTGCCGACACACAGACAGGCTTGAGACCCACTCTCCTATAAACGGTACCGCCAAGGTAGCACGCATCGTGTTCGGTCAAATTGTCAAACGGAGATTTCCGGTTAGATTTAAGCGTCTCTCCAAGCTCATTGGTCGAAAACGAAGCAAGTCTGCCGACCGGAAAATGAGCCACGTAACCTCACCACCTGATACGGACTCAATCTACGCATTCATTGAATGCTGCTTTTTTGAGTTACTATGACATGGTTTGCCTTAGAGACTGAGCACCGGAGGTCAAAGATATAAAATGTGGCTTTTACTGACTGACACCTATGGTAAGGCTGCATGTCTTGTGCTTTTGCGAACACTAGAAACAGCCGGTCAGAAAACTTTTATGGCATAAGGAGTCGCATGTCCACTGACGCTCTCACAGCGCCTTCAAACGGGCCATGAAACCACATCAGAACAAAAAAACTTCCTTACGCGGACACAGGAGCCTCTGTGGGTTGAAATTTCGTCCTCAAGCCACGGTAAAGAAGCCTTAACACCTCCGTATTTTCTACTTCGGGTTTTATGGAAGTCTGGGACTCTACATTAGTTTTTTGTCCATGCCGAGAGTAAAGAAATTTTGCGTTCTGTTATCCACATACAATTCCTGAGGAATAAATATCAACTCGAAACGAATTTTACGAGCCTAACGGAGACAGATGGAGCACTTTAAATTGATGATTTAGTCGTGCTCCACTAGCATATCTCAGGAAAAAGTCCAGTACTATAGCTCACTTTTGGGCTTTGCTTTGGATTTCGTAGACCTCCCACTCCTGTTGTATTGTTTTCAATTTAACCAATCCCCTTCTTGCGCGACTCACCATACCCACCAATCCGCACAAAGAAATAGCGAACACAAGACACTGATGCTGACAAGTGACAAGTATCACTAATAGCAAAGTGATTAAATTGTTCTCAACAGTTAACGTGATTAGATGATCTCACAATTGCTGTTCTTCGAGGAAAAGTCAAAACTCTGAATTTTTAACGCAGCCACTTTCATATGCTTGAAGGAACCAGTGACTTAGTTTATTTCAAAAAAAGGTTCAATTATGTTTTCTTCCTTTTCTTTGAGCAGTGAGTCGCAACGAATACTGCTAAAGAGACAAAAAGAGATCCCAGTTCGCCCCAATTCCTGGAAATCAGTACCACTGTCAATAGTGGTAGCGTTAGACCCACCTAGGCATTTTCTCTTCCCGATGTTCCTTCCTTCTCGCCTTCCAACTTGTTCAACTGAAATTCGACTGACACAAGTCGTTCTCTTGTTTGAGCATGGATCCTTCTTTCCTAAAAAATGTAAATGTAAGTTCAAAGAGAACCTAATTAACGGTGTTGGTGCATCTAAAAGGTCTCCTGAAAAAAAGGCTTGGAATTGTTCGTGAAGGTAAAATAACACGGGTAGGTAAAATAGCTTATAAATGGTTCACTTGCAACAACATGATTGTTTACCAATTTATTTTAGTTACGCGGGCACGGCCTCCATGACGCTCCGTTTTCCCGCCACTCCTGACCATGATTTCTTTCCGTATTTAGCATCAAATTGTCGAACTTGTACGATTTCGGCTTTGATGTCAAATGTCAAGTGATTTGATGAATGAGTATACAAATGCAATAGATGATCACCCATTACCTCGCAAACAGGAGAGAGAAGAATACAAACGGTTATCGCAATTCTCTTTGTACTGGGTAAATCGAATACTGGAAGGGGAGGGAGGAAGGTCCGACCATGAAAAATATCCCAATAGAAAACTATGTTACAGAATAGTAAAGGCCACGACAACACCTTATGCTACATGAGTCCTTCCAATCTACAACGAGTTAGAGTTGTAGCTGCTCTAACTCCGTCGAGGATATTGGAGATTTCTAACTCTTCTGTATCCCATAGCATCTTCAGCCGTAAAGCCAACGTTGCAGAATTTTTAAGCAATAAAATTTAGGAAGTGGCATCATCTTCGCAGCTCTTGCCTTTTTGTAATTCTGACTCAACTGTGGAAATTGTGGCAGTTACCATGACGCTGAAGCATCACTTAATCTGTCTCAAAGTAACTGCGCACTTTGGAAGGGGTGGGAGAGGTGAAATGGTTAAGTGTGGCGAGTGCGAGTGGATGAAAAAAATCGGCCTTTAGAAGCATTCCTAACTAAAACTCACCTTTAAAAGCTGAGCTCGTAATTTATCATATTCTAAAGTTAAATGAGCAATAGATCTGTCATTTTCGATTCGCTGCTCCTCTAAGGCGGCATCTGTTGCATCTTCCGCCTGTTTAAGGCGTTCCTGAAGCCGTCGGTTTTCAGCCTTAAGGTCTTGTATGCTTGGTTCATTGGTAGCACGGGTCAAGAGATGCTTCAAGCGCGCGTTGTCTGCCAATGAACGGTCAAGGATAGACTTCACCTTAAGAAGCATTACTTCTAACTCCGCGGCTGTTTTCCCGGTGGTGCTCGCCTGCTAAGAGACAAGGCAAAAGAACTTATGGCGAGCGCAAAAGAAATGTCGGAGTAATAATGGTGAGGTAAATGGAGTTAACATGCCTTGACCTACAGACGGTTATAACCATAAGCTACTCATACTGCATACTGGCTGGCCAAAGTGTGATCTTATGTCAACAATATCCACTTGGTGAAAGCGCACACCCTATGCCATTCCTAACCGATCTGCCCATTGAATAACAAACTCTCCAAAACCACCTAGGCATTCAGTTGTCCTAGAAACGACATATGCCGGGATCGGAACTCCTCACGGAGCAACATTTGCTTGATACAATCCAAAAGTGTGCAAGATACACCTCCATAAAAGAAATCAGCAGTGATAAGTCTATAGTAAGGCAGTCGCTACATGGATTTGTGACTAAATGTGTTCTTTGGGACAAGAAAGAGAAGCGATGTCACCCATTTTCGCCAAATCATAATTGACATCTTTTCTAGGCACTGCACTCCGACAGGAACGGAGGTGAAAGGGAGACAGGAAGTATAACTTGGAGGGAGAAACGGGACGTAACTAGTATTAGGCTGTCTACTTTTCGAGCCAAAATCGTAACAGCCTTATGAATAGTTGGAAATGATAAAAAGTGGTATTAAGGCTGTATTAACCCCGGTCAGAAGAAGAGTGAAGCTTACAGGATGGCAGCTTACTTGAAAATTTTTCTTGTGTTACCTACTGCGTTCTAAGCAAATTGACAGGTATATAAGAAAGAAATAACTTCATAACAGCTATAATTCTAGTTGAAGTTGGCAATAACGTTGATAGTGTAAGCATGCTAACAAGATTAATGGGTTCACCGAAATCTTTGTAGAAATAAGGAATAATTATTATTCTCACACGCTTTCCTTTAGCCCCGAAATCAACTTTGTCAAATGAGGGACTGTAGGGGCGTGTCATCTTCAGCGTCTGCAACTGCTGCTCCAACTGGATCAATGATGCCTCCAACTTGGAATTACGAACCTTAAATGGCAATAAAAAAATTTTACTAAATTTATATTAGTAGAATTAATATTAACACTAGTCTCTTATTCCCATCAGCACATTAGGAATAAAAAGTAGTTAAAAAACCATCCACGTGCTTTATAAGTGTGGAGTAACTATCTTAATACTAAGTACCTTCAATTTGGCATTGTTCTCCCGAGCCGAGTTAAGCTCATCTTGAAGTTGACCGAGTGCTAATTCTTTGGCAGAAGCAGCAAGACTGATAGGAATACTCTTAGCTCTTCGCACATACTCATCATGACCAGGTTGAAGTCTTAAACGATTGAGAAGGAGTCGATTGTGCCTATACCGGAAAAGAAAATGCACTTGTTTTTAGCATTCCAAAAACCCTAATATTGATTTGCCGAAGTACACACTTCTCTGTCCGTTCCAAATTTGCATCTGCTTTAAAAAGCTGTTTTCTTGCTGCATCCCTTTCTCTTTGTGCCAAATTAAGCTGCTTAAGGAGTCGCTTCGTATCTTTTTCGGAGAGTTGGTGAACTTCCCCATTTGCCTCAGTGACCTAGTGAAATCCACTTTAAGTTAAATTCATCCTACTGGAGACATAAAGTAGTATATGCGCCTTACATAATTGTCATCGGCCGATGTAGGCTTCTGAGCTGCGGTAGAGGATTTCAATTTGGCATTTTCTGCCTCTAACTTGCGAATCCTTTCCATTAATTGATTAACAAAGCCTTTGTCAACTGTGGACACCTTCTTGGCCTGAATCTCTGCCAATAATTTGCTGTTTGCTGACATCGCCTTCGAAATGCGTGAGTTCAGACGTTGATGGATTTCATTTTTCTTCTCTAAAGTGGAGTGACGGAGTAGAGAATTAATAAAATGTTCTATTTTTTCGAAAACATGAGAGGGCTTAAGCCAAGGTTTCAAAAGTATGAAAGTTACCAAGTTGAGAAGTAAGACTTGTCACCTTCCTGGAAAGTTCCCGCACCTCGATCTCGTTGGCTGGCTTCCTTGATGTTGATTGTGCACGTTTCAGCTTATCCACTTCCTTTTGAACTTTCTAAAGGAAAAATATTCCTTTACTTCGCTTTCGGCTTTTTAGTTTGTTAGCCTAGTTGAGAATTCCGAAAGACAGAAAATGAGGGAGGATTGTCTCTTTCTTTTCAATCTTGAAAATAAAATCTCACAGATCAGCCTAGTGATGGCAAGATCATTAAGATAGATTGTGATTTACTCTCTGGTGATCATTTTCAACGTTTACTATTGCATAAAGTTGGAATAGGGGAGAGGAGAGTCTCCGGTTAATAAACTTTGAAATGCTTTCCTCTTTAATAGAATTTTGGAACAAAGAATTTGGAGGATGACTGATTCACTGATGCTGATAGTCTTCGCCGGCTGGCCAGTATTTGAGCTGCTACACTGTTGATAGGGCGTAGCCTTTAGCAAGGAGTCACGAGCCTTCTTCTGCAAAGCCTTGTAACCCAGCTGTAGGTTCGACGAGATAGGATTTGGGCTAAATTACTCAATTAACCGATAGCAAAGTGTAGACTTGGGTGCGCAGTTTAGGTTCCTCTTAAGTAGGGTGTATGGAACCATCATTGGAAGTCTACGTACAGTAATGAAGGTGTGTCTTTTGGCTCTCCATTTAGAACGAGCTTGGAATTCTTAAATGCTGAATATGCGCCAAATTTCCGCCCCTCAGCCAATGCATTTCAACGAAGGCCACAGACGTCATAGAAAAGCTGACTCGTCAAACGAGGTTAGTCTATGATACAGCTAGGCACTTAATTAGCAAAAGAATTGAGTAAACTAAAACGAGGTATCTCGGATGGGTTAATACTAACGAGATGTCAAAACGATGTGCGTAGAACTTGCACGGCTTTTGTATTACTGTTTGTAAAAATTGTCGCCTATGTAGCGGTATGCGTGTGTTAAGCCACCGTTCATCAAGGCACCAGGCTATGACAGTTGTAAGCAGACGACTTTAACAAAATTTGAAGCAATGAACAAAGCCGCTTCAAAACAAAGGCGGCAAATTTGAATCAGTAAATGTCATCATTCGAACACATCACAACAGGATACGACGTCCCGATGTAAACGTTTAAAGATTAGCCAGTTGTGTGTTTGTGTCGGTGACTTTTAGGCCTCATATACAGCCAACAAACCAGTTGTTCATTGGAAAGGGTGATACGCCGAAGTACGGAACTTCTAAGGCTTAGCACAACCCCTTTCCTATGCCACTAACGACACAGTGTAAGAGGCAGTTATGAAATGCCAAACCCTCCGAGATCATAGCCTTTTGCCAATAAAGTTTGGATGCAATTCCAATACACAACTAACAAATTTGAGAAAGAATTTGGAGTTCTGACACTGCTAAATCAAAAATAACATGACATGAACTTAAAAGTCCCGAAACGGCAAGAATTACCGGCATCTTACACGATTGCAACGCAAAAAAAAATCATAATTCTTATGCTCGAAGCAGGTTTTAGAAGAAAAAATACATCGTCTCACCTTAACTTCGAGACGCTTTTTTTCTAGCTCCTTTTGAAGTTCAGTGCACTCTTCCCTCGCCCCATTGGCCTGGTCCTTGATGGCTTTGAAAGTTGATACTAATTTCTGAATCTGTTCGTCACGGTTCTGCAAATCAGCCTTCAAATCTCGCACACACGCCATCATAACCGCCTTCTCGTCTCTATTACGAAAAGAAAAAACGGGATTACGGTAACCCCAGCGTAACACTACCCGTCCGATCACTGTATTCACTGGATGCTTTCGGCTCGAAGTCGCGTGATTTCCTCCGGTGTTGTCTCCTGCTTGCTAGAGTGAGCCTCAACCTGATCAAATAGGTTTGCTTCAAGGTCAGTGGATCGACAGAGGGTCTCAGCATCGTTTCTAAGAGCTGGAGAAGGCACCTCAGGTACTCGATGTGGAGAAGAGCGTTCCTATAGGTAGAACTGGCCATTTATTTGTCTGTTTCACAACTGATGTCCTTTATATAGGTAAACTCTGCCGGTAATGAGTTGGTTAAATCTAATTCGCAAGAGATACAAACTCTGACATTGGCTAGATACGCTTAAGAAAAAGGGCCTCAGTTCTAAGCGACTGGCTCTGCAACGAACCACAGAAGGAACAACAAAACCTCGTAAATTTGCATTGGCATATTTGTTAAATAAAATCCTTTCCAATATAGCTATCGCAGCATGCAATATTCTTCTTAAATGCAAACATCTTTTTACGATTGTTTGGAACCACTGGAAGACAACGTTGTAGTCAATGCAGAAGAACGGAATAGAAAGTGCCAAGGACAACGCTCACATAACTCTCAAGTATTCTACTATTCGACTACCAGACTGATAAGTGAGAGCTCTGGTCATTTTACCCACTTGAAGAGTCGTCTGGGACTGCAACACACTCCCTGCCAATTCTTACCTTGGCGTGCAATTTGGCAAGTTCGATTACATGCTCAGCCTTCAGTTGAATCATTTGAGTATGATTATTTGGAAAATGTTTGATTTCTTGGAGGCTGTTTCGTGAAGAAGCGAGGTCAGTTTGTATGCCTGTTGTTGCAGTGTCAAATATCTGCGCATAATGAACAAAAAATTATTCGGGTCCATTAGAAGGTGGTTGTGAAGCACCTTTGGACCGTCGCTGCAAATGAGGCGACGACTGCGCAATGAAGATCTTCACCAACAATAAACTTTACGAAATAATCAAGGCTGTGCCATTTTAATTTACAAAACTCCTTTATGATAAAAAATAGCGCAGTCCTATTGATGCCACCATTTGTCATGAGCCCGTAAGGAGTGCCTGTCATTTTTATTTGGTGCCGAGAGCTCAAACAAGTAATTTTAAATAAGAAGATTACAGCACTGCCATAACTGAGTTCAGTAATATGTAAAATTAGGTAGCAACATTGCTATCTAGAAAAATGTCACCTTGAGTTTAGTAGGATTCCCATCAACGGAGTCTTTCGAAGCCACTTCCTTCTGCTTCAGGACTTCGTTCAAGTGCATGCTCGCTGCTTCCATATACGCGGTTTGCCTTTCGTGACATTCTAGATGGTTTACCTCCTCCTTTTTTACGCTTGGCTAGGGGGAAATTTAATGAGAAAACAATGATGAGGAAGTAAAATTTTCCATTTAATCACCAGTAAGTAAAACGAGCTGCTTGTTTTACGCTAGTAGGAGCTCCTCACCAGCAAGAAACTGACCTGGAGTAGAGGTTTGTACTCAGAAGCTCTCCTTTCCACCACAAATGGTTGACACCGAAAGAATCTATCATCGACTTTCCCACCAATCCCATACCTCTCCACCAACTTGGCAATCGAAGAAGTCCGTTCAATGAGGTCATTCTGTGAAGTAGTCCGTTTGTTCTCTAAGTACTTTAAGCGTTCATACAGATCGTCACGGTCCTTCTTTAGAGCAATTACTTGTACCAAAAGATTTTCATGCTCTATTAAGGAAACACAATCCGCGAGTTCCGACTTGGGACACTGAAATCGAATTCAGTAAATGATGAACACATGTATCAGTACCCCAAGGGAAGTTCGAAGTTTTTGCTCATTATCAAGGCCTTGCTTCTCGAAATCCATATATTTTTTATCTTCTTCTGCAATGTGAGTTGCCAATTGATGAATCAAGCTTTCTAAACGCTTGATATCCCTCTGGCTCGAAGCCGACGGGGCTGGTGATTGAACCTGAAAACAGAAATGGGTTTGAAGAATACTAAAGATAAAATTAACCAATTTTCGAAAAATTTTTTCAATCACACAACTATCTTAAAAAGCCATTTTTAAATGAGATATCTTTTATTTGTCAAAATTATACTGTGTTATGTTCTCCACATAATTCTCAAAAGTGACAGTGGACTTCATTTAAAGAGCCACTTATAACACTTTCGCTTTTGTTGATTTGCTTCAACCGCGAAAACTCCCTTTTATAGTGTATTCATAACTCTTCTAGGCTCTTGCTTATTATTAATCATACCTCTTAAACAAATCATAAAATGAACGGTCAGGTAGTGAAAGCCAGAAACTACATTTAATCGGGGGAAGAATAGCGGCTATACAGCGCTATTAGCAACGATAGAGATCTTTTTAAAACTAATCTGATGTTTTTAGTGCTTCACTAAGGATGTCGAAGCGTTTGTTCTTTTGTGCCCGTCCAAAGCCTTGAGCTAAAGCAGAAGAATCAAATTTTCTAAATGCTTTCCAGATCTGCACATTCATTATGCGGGTTCTAAAAAAGACATAAGTTAGTATTGTGTTCGAAATGCGTGAGAGTACTGTCTTTGCAAAAAGACCCTAACAGTTTTATGCTCCAATATTAGAGACCTAACCGATGAAGGCAGAAAAGTGCCAAGAAGGAAATTGTGTAAAATTTAGCAGATGGGAACAAACCTTGATGAGTGATATAAGTGTGTTTCATTTAAGATTATTTTAAGACAAAAGCGCTTCTATCGCTTGGTAGAGCAAACGTAAATGCAACCTCCCAAAACATTTCACCCCAATTCATAAACTCAGAAGACCTTTAACCTAAGCGCAAATTGTAAGGATAAGTTGACTGCCAAAGGGCAAATCCAAAGCTAAATAAAAAATTCAAAAAAGACCGAACTTATGCCAGTTCGCTGCAAGTTTTGAAAAGGTAATAGGTGCATTTATTAAGAAAAAGCATTGTGTCGGTTTTTACATCCAAAAGTAACTAATAAAACAAACTAATTTAACCATCACATCAATGACTGCAAGTACCTTGTTTAGCGATTGGAGATAAACTGGTCAAAAGGCAGCATTTAGTAATCGGATTTACCAAACTGCAACTACTTGGGACAACTGTAATCAAAAAATCAAGAAATTGTAACAAAAATTAATCAACTTATAAACTAAAATGCAAGTACGAAAGCACTTGAGGCAAAAAAAATTAGTTGTAAACCAAAGCAACTCCCTGAATTGGAAGTTGAAAGCCGGTCGTAGCCTCGTACCCACACGAACTTACATTAACATTTTACCGAGAAACCCAAATTTGTCACACTAATATAAGCAAATAACCTACATATAAATTATTTGAGAAAAAATCAGGCGATTGATGAACAAGCCCGCTTTTAAAACCCAACACTGTTTAGAAATGCGCCCCTCTAACAATTGTTTATGATGTGATCATTGGTGTACCTAAACAAATTTCCAAAATTTTGCGTTTTTTATTTGTAATACTTTAGCATTTCGAAAACAACATTAGCACTGTAAGTATATATATATTGAATTAGGTCGTGCTTTGGAATTATGTAGTTTCCATAGCAATGCCAAGTATTAATTACATAAAAGTTCAGTCTTGTGGCAGATCGGAAACGCCCTCTGTTATGACCAACAACGCTTCGGATAGTCTGCATATAATTTATTAAATAAGGCTAGAGGACAAATCTGTGTGATCTAAGCAATCGCATTGTCTCATAGGCCGAGAAAAACAAGGTATTTAGGACATAGAGCCAATACTATAATCATCACAATGATCAGGGTATTGGTGGTTAGGCCTGTAATACCTTGCTTGGCCATGTAATATATATCAGTTTGTTTAAGTGTACTTTTATAGGTGGGAGGCGGGAACTAATTGTGAATGCGAATCACGTGCTCTAACCTAGCGAGGAGTCTCCCTCCAATTGGTACCTCCTACTCGCCCCATCTGCATCCCATCCCCCATCCTTCCTAGTAAAAAATGTCCAATAAATCATCCGCAGCCAACTGTCTCTTGAAGTCTGAGTTTCAGGGACCAGAGGGCAGACAGGCAGCTATTACAGGCCGATCAGCCATATGATCAGTTGCCATTTTGATGTACATCTTGCCTTTTTTATGTGCGTGCACCTACAGAGTGTTTAAATTAGGCCTTGTGGGTGGAGGCAGGAGTTAAAGTCGAATGCAAAAGTCCATGCTTCCTTGGACTGCCGCCGGACTGCCGTCTTAATTATGCACATACTCCTATCTTTTTTGTAAAGGGTATCTAATAAACCCCCTAAAAGTAATCCTTTTATGAATTTAGAGGTATGAGAGTCTGAGTGTATGCTGGCAAGATCTGCATTGTGAGCTGACCTTCGGGCCACACCATTGATTCATATCTCTTGCTTTAATGCAAGTAGATGGTCATGCCTACTGTCTTCTGGTGCTAAATGGTGAGTTTTGGCACCTCACACTACCTTCATAGTAAGTTTATGACATCAACGGTAAACGGCCTTTTGACATTATTTGCACAAAGTAGAGAGAATAAATGGTGTTAAGACGCTCTAAGATCACCTTGCTCAAAAATAACATAAGCGAAATCAAGCATTAATTTCAATACCATCGCTTATAAGGAGGATTCAGCGACACAGTAGCAATATTCCACTGCGGGTGCATAATAATGTCAAAAGTTGTAAGACTTGTTTTACAAATGTCTTCTGATAAGATATGTGAAATTATAGATAAATATAAGTCGGGAAGATGAATCTAAGAAGACGGGATAAGCAATGCAGTGTTCATATGTTTCGGTATCAATTAATTAATTAATTTTATGACCGTTGTCGCATGAACTGATCTCTAAACGATTCACCAATTATATCCTACTTTCTATCGGTCTACTCTGTCTATTGCACCCAAACCCGATGCTTTCACCGACAGAAGCATCTCGTTTGGCTTTGGTCATGACTCTTAACTTGTTTTTTGTATATATCTGCAATTTGTGAGTGAAGATCATAATAAGTTTAAGGGAACATGCTTGATGAAAATTAAAAGATTAAAGTAAGGACCAGCAAATGTTTCCAATTGATTTGCTTAGCTGATCTATGCACTAAGTGTAATACTTATGTGACCACATGACATTTGGTGGTCAAGTTAGGATTTGTCTGGTCCTTGTACACGTGGGCTGGCCTTCAAGCTAGGCCCAGGTCCATTTGTCCTGTCGTCTTCAGAATACGTGTATCCGACTGCACTTACTGACTTCTTATACCGGCCAGGAGGTCTCGAGGCGCTAAATTAAAGAACTTTATTGAACTAGACATGTAATTCTTTGTTCATATTACCACCAGAAGTGCGGAGGTTACATTGAGATTCGACTAACCCTCGTACGCATGGGCTGGCCTTCGGGACAATCTCAGACCTAACCTCTTTGTCGTCCTTGGAATCCATGCGTTCAGCTCTACTTACTGCCTTCTTCTACCCGCTGAGAAGTCTCGACATAATACAAGGCGAAACAAAATAAAACACGAGGACAATTCAAAAATGCAAGAGAATGCGCAAGATTCCTTTACCTAGCAAGGAAACACGATGTGGACACTATAATTAATTCGGCATGTACAAATAGTTTATATACCATATTGTCGAATCTACCATGTGCGGATTTCGAACATGCAAATAACAGGCTTTACTTAAAAATTGTATATTTTTAGGCATCATGCTCATTTCAAAAAGAGGCGACTGAATTAAGCACGTTCTAATTTTTAAAAATCTGAATATTTTGGTCAAATTAAATAATTTTATAACAAGTCATCATCTTCTTATTAAGCTGTTCAAATGTACATTTCGTGGTGCTTTGTTTCATTGAATTGGGAATTGATTTGGGTCGTTGGGTAGTTTAAGTCTTACGGATTTTCGATGACCAAAGGTGCCGATCCTCAACACGGATCCACTAAGCGTGGAGCTGGGGTCCGCATTTTGCACTTATTGTTTCACTTTTTTGATAGGTGACACAACCTTGCATGACAACTATAAACATGTTACTTATCCTTAACTGGTCTTTTTCCGTCTTCGTATTTTTATTTTTGCGGACTTCTGCGCTTAATAAATCACCACTAAAGATCTTTTCAATCAAGTTGATGGTCTTATAATACTTTTTAACATTGTTATGTGGTGTTGGGCCACTCGCGGGTTTCATACGCTAAAGGCCGTTATTTAACCATGGTGTATCACATTTCTTTACTGCTTTAGGGGGAGTCGGGGGAAAGTCTATTACGCGCTGCTAGAGCAGGTGACCTGAAGAAGGTTTTGGATTTAATAAATTCCGGTGTTAACATAAATTCTACAAATCCTGTAAGTGGCTTTGAAGCCTGTTAATTACTCTCCAAGGTTTAATTGTGTGCTGTGTTGGTGGTTTATCTAGATGGAATTTTTACCTTAATTTTTTTTCGTACTATTACTAACACCGTTATGTGTCTTATTGATGAGAGACCAGTGGACAGTTCCCCATCTTCTTATGGATTTTGTAGACGGGTTTGACAGCACTCCACTTGGCGGCGAAAGAGGGTCACACCGAGGTAGTAAAGGAGTTGATTCATCATGGAGCCGATGTCAATGCTACCTCAAAGAAGGGGAACACGGCTCTCCATATTGCCTCTCTTGCTGGTCACTTAGGTGTCGTTCGAGCTCTTGTCGATGCAAACGCTAATCCTAATTGCCAGTCACTGGTGCGTTTGGCATGTTTTTTGGGGCCCTTTATCAAGATATTCCATGCCCTCTTGTAGCCTCATGCGTTTCATTTGCCTCGTCTTTTCCGCTCCTGGATATTTCGTATCTTTTAATCCTTATTTTTCTGTCATGCATGGCGCTAAAGTTTTTTTTGACAAGGCCTTTAATGTGAGTAAGCCATCAGGCGTTGCTTTTAAAATTTGTTGGGGTCTCTCGGACAACATTCTTATCACTTTCGTTTTTGGTTGAAGTGGTCGAGCTCGGAGTTAGGTTTTGAGGCTTGACTTCCTTTCAGCCACCTCTTCTTCTGCGCTTAGGTTGGGTTCACCCCTCTGTACATGGCGGCGCAGGAGAATCATCTGGATGTTGTTATCCTCCTCCTAAACAAAGGTGCCAACCAGTCACTCACAACCGAAGTATGTTGGATCAATTTTGATTAAGCAGTTATTTTAATCTCTGCACATCAGAACATTGCTTTTTGTAAACACTTCTGATTTTACAACTTCGCAAACGAACCTCCAATTTTTCTTCAATTATGGAAATTTGGAATCTTTTTGAAATTATGTAGTTCCAATTTTGTACTAAAATAATAGTGAATGTAGGTTCTTGTAGGCACTTAACCTATGTTGGTAATTCGTTGAACTGAAAAACATTAACTGTTTTAAGTCATCAGTTTTAAATCCCACAATTTATGCCTACGCGTGTTATCTTTGAAGAGGAGTTTATGGATGTTCTTTGCGAATAAATTGTTTGCTCAGCCTCATCATTTTTGCACCTCCTGTGCACCAATCACGTGCTCTGCCATTTGTTCTTTATCACTAACTATCCTAACTTCTCAGTGCTCTTAGATTAGCCTTGAGTGTATGCTAGACGTAGAATAGAGCGGTTCCGGCTACTGACAGTTGAGGTCCATCTGACTTAGCGACGACATCTGCGTCGGTCGCAATTTCATGTCCGTTCAAGAAAGCCTAGATGCTTCCTGTCCTGTAACTCACGGATGTGACATGAACTCTGCACACGTGCATGGAAGTGTTTTTGCTCTGCAGCTGTGTGACATTTTAGTACTTGAATTATTTTACGAATTTAGTAGCTTCAAATTTTTGCTTGAACCTCCAGAAAGCTTGATAGAGCGTTTTGGCTGGTTAATTTGATCTTTTGAACCTATGCTACAAGACTACTATTTTATTTACCACGGAAAAAAAACTTAGGAAGCAATTTGTCAAAATATAGACATTGCATCAAGACTTTAATGAAATTTTTTGGTTGTGGCATTTCTGAAAATTCCTTCTGTTCATAAGGCTTATTTGAGACAGACTAATTTTGGCTCGTCTAGGTGTGACATCTCCCTTATAACCACCATCGAATGCCATTTTGCGGTAGTCCTTATGAAGGTCTCCCTTTCAATGACATAATTGAAACCACTTGATTTCCATTTGACCGCTTCTCAGTCCGTCATTTTCTCCTGTTGGAATCCATACGATCGTCATTGTGTAAGCTATAGAGGAAATCTTGTGTCTACGTAGGGACATCAATGACAATGCCGCTGATTAGTCGCTTTTTTAGGGGATTAGGCTTCAGTGTTATTGCTGGTTTATTGTTGAAATTTTCTTCAACTTCCCACGTTATAAGTTAGATTTGGTATGCTTTCGCTGGAAGTTTATTTAATGCAAATTGTGTTTATTTTTCCAAATATTTGGCCACGTTTACGCATTCCATGTTAGCTCGAATGTATCCTAATCAGTAACTGGTATTTCATATTTTAAAAGGTAGCCTTTGTTTTCTGCATTTGAAGCTTTATCACCAACATTTTGCTGGACTTATTTCCATAAGGGCATCACAATATCGTTGCAAAGGTGAGAGTGTATAGTTCAATCGGACTTGGATCCTAACATGTATAGATAGATGGAGAGAACGGGGATCTTGAATACGCACTGGGGTTCGATAAATGTATTCGAGGTATTATGTAAATTGTCCATTTTTCATAGTTGATATTGGATCCCACGATTCGGCTCATATCATTGGCCAAAGTAGTCATTTCTCACAGCGATCCTATTTGCGTTTGTGCTCCAAAGTGCATGTTGACTCAGTGCTTGCCTGTTCAAAGGCAATGCGAGTGATGGGGTCAATAAACACAAGGACTATTTAATTCCATCTTTTTATGTAAAAATGTGCGCTGCTATTGGGGCGTATTGTCTCTGGAGGCATTAGATTTAAAACAGTTTTGGAAGCAGTGGCGGTGAAGGAGGTCTGGCAGACGTTTTAGAATGGGTGAAAGGGACAAAGAATGGAGATTCCTGCTTAGCAGTAATGAACATCTGTTATTCCACCTTGAGTATTCTCAGCGTCACACGAGAATTGGCCTAATATTGCCTGGCCACTTTTATTTGATGTATTTTGTGGGTATTCCAACCGTAGTGGTTCATCGTTTTTTTTAGGATGGTTTTACACCTCTAGCAGTGGCTCTGCAACAGGGCCACGATCGTGTTGTGGCTACTCTACTGGAACGGGACACTCGTAGTCGTGGCGGACTTCCTGCTCTCCATGTGGCGGCTCGCAAAGATGATGTCAACGCTGCCAACCTCTTACTCATGAGCCCTGATGCCAATGTAAACCATCAATCTCAGGTGGGTTTATTCCCTCTTTCGCTGCATCATTTCCCTTTCCATTTCGCAGCTAATTGAGTAAACTGATACGAAAGTTTGATTAAACCGGATGAAGGTTAGTGACTTCTATGACTTTCGAATTTGTTAAGTTTCATATTCAGGTACCCTCATCCCTTACTGACCTCAAAGGGTGTTATCTTGTCAGTTTGGTTTTCATTTTAAAATATTATCCTACTGAGCGCATTCCTCTTCTGCGAAGAAATTGTAGTTGATTAGTTACAACATGTTTGCTACCCATCTCAGTTTTTAAGTTGTTAAGCAGCTCTGGCATTACTTATCTGGGGATGTCGCGATTTAGCTGTATTCTGAGGTTACTGAAATGGCCACTATCCTTATTGTAGGCAAAATAACACGAACTAGGTTATTGTTAGGTCTGGATGTTGCGCTAGGTTGATGGACTTCTCAAAAAACTAATTGTGCGTATTTTCATTTGAAAGTTGGGGGCCAGGTGGATTTGCGACTTCGTCACTCTCCACAAACCTGTACTGTATGAAAGCTTCACCATAATCTTGTTCACATTTTGGACATTGGTTCGATTGCTCTCATTTACTTTTGTTGTGATCTAGTATTGAACATTTAGCCCTTGGCAAGATTTGCTCAGAGCTACCTGTCATCATCCAGGTTCGGTCAAAATATTGTGGACCGAATATCTTAAGGAGGTGTGCCTGGCCTTAAAGCAAGGTTATATTTATAGTCCAAAATTTTTTATTACATGAAACTGTAGATGGCGTACCTCAGAACCCAAGAAATTTAGGCAAACCTCTTCGAATTATTCATTTGTCCCTTCATTTCCTCGGATTGGTAGAACGAAACACCAAAAGTGTAAACTATTCTTTGGCATAGCGACTTCTGTGAATAAATTCTTTTCTTCTTTTCTTCAAGGAAGTACTGTACAGTACGGCGAATAGCTGGTGATAATGAATCCCCTCTTAACACCTTGTTAACTAGTTTTTTAATGTGAAGTCTCTTCTGGCATCACAGTTCTCATTTGTTCTTGGGACAAGCAAATTGTTTGTTGTAGACAATTTACACAGAATACGAAACAACTGGGTCGTGTTGGCATTTCCCCTTGGATTCTGATAACGGACGCATTAATATTTTTAGAGTTCTTAATTCTTTCCTTTCTCGCGGCTATTCATGGTGCTGCGAGTCTGATTATTCTAGGCCACTTTATTGCCATAGACAAAACGGTCGATCAACGACGTGCTATTAGGAAGTTGTTGGATGGCCCATGCCGGTGTCAGGGTGATTGATCGATCCTTGAAAACGAGGTTCGAGTTGTTTTCTCGTCTTTTGTCCAAAAGGCACATTTAAAGAAATACACGTGTCACTATTGCTAGGATGGTAGCTACACAGTTGGAGGTCGATTTGATCTTTATAATTAGCATCTTAGGCTCAGTGCAGGCTGTCCTTGTCGTCCATAGGAACAAAACTCCACCAGACTATAGTTTCTGCCTTCTTCTAGTGTTTCTCGCTATCTACACTATCCTGTGCCGAAAGCTACATAAATCAGGAATGTTGACTCAAGTTTAATGATAATAAGATGATCATTCACTTCACCGAAAGGCTTATTTCATAGAAATATGCTGAGATTTTGGGATTTGTTCTTACTCTGGACAGCAAACAGCTTCTAACACCAAGTCTCGCCTTCACTTGAGCTTAGGCCGTGTCAAACCTGCCAGTCTTTCTGCCCGTCTGATGGCTGAAGAAAGACGACCGGACTTTTCGTGTCCATTGTTTGCTTCCGCTGCCTTGCGTGGAGCGTTGTTTAAATGTCTAGTCTTCACAGTGATTCTTTACCTTAAAAACAAACCTGCTGTTTATTTCACTTCTCATTTTTTGTCAAAGATTGCATTCATTTACCACTATTTGCTAATTCGTGGCTTGGTGGCAACTTTATGGTATCACTGAACTTGAAACCTCCTCCCAAGCCAAGTCGTCCTCTTTGCTGCTCAAAAGTAACTTAAACATCTCCTTGGTATTTATTAAATCCCTCAAGCTTCTGTTTACTTATGCTTTTATATCTGTTTCTCAAAGAATTTATTTTTCATTGTTATTATTGCTACTAAGTTTTCTTGCCGTTATAGGAGCTGTGTGTGGTCTCGAGATACCCATTGCCCCTGCACCACCAGCAGTACTTTTAGCATTGGGCATGCTGTCCACTTTGACAGTGGGGTTACACTTAAAGTGTGGCGTGATTTTAATTTGAAATGGTCTATTTAACCACTTCTCCTTAAGTGGTAGACCTGCCTAGACCCACTTTACGAATACTGTTTTCAGTTTATTAGTCAAGGTTGAAATTTTCTCAATTATTTAAAATCATCTATTGGCGCTGGACATTCCAAAGTTCGCAGTTGAACGATGAGCCGATAAGCTGGAAAGAATAGAAGCCCTTGCTCTGAAACTTTGCTAGTAATTTTTAACTTTTCCCCTTTTGGAACGTGCATTTTGTCTTTCTGGATGCTTAGATTTGCCCTTTAAGGAGGGAAAAGATTTGTGATTTCGTTTTTCTTATGCTAACCGTGCAGTTGAGATGCAAACAAAAACTTGAAAGTGTGAACATTTGTAGTTTTCTTTTGTCGAAGCTGCTACCTATCAAGACGTAGTCGCTTTAGCAGGCAACTTCTATTCGCGGGCTCCAAATAGTTCAGTCAAAGTTCTGGTGATTGCACTGGAAAATCACCAAAATGTCGTCTCTGGAGCTTTTTTTGCTAAGGAGGAATAGGAACTGTAGAACTTTCTTGTGGTCCTAATGTGGCGCTCTAGAGCCTCAAGTAGGAAGTCTTATTTCTGGTCTTTGAGCTGGTAGTATAGTATTTTGTCCAAAACTGAATCCCATTGTCACAACGGCGATGTAATCAGGCATAAACTTGCGACGAGTGTCATTTTATCGTTTAGCTTGGCGTTAAACAATATTCATTGAAGTGGTCCGAAATTCTTTTCCAAAGCAATTTTTATTACAAGGAGAAGGGTTTAAAATTCATTTTCGGATGTATTTCTAGTTGACTTTGTTGATTTCACACATTATGCAGTGTCTGTGAAGTGTTGTAGATGTATGATGGTCAATTTTCACGCCAATTGCTTGTCAGGCGATGTGTCCCAACCTCACTTTTTTGCTCCCTGAGTACTATCCCTGCAGTTATCTTTGACTACGTTGAGGTCATTATGATTATAAGCCGGTTTATGCCCCCCCCCCCC